GGGCACTAAAAATGGGAGAACTAGTTCTTATCAAGGAAGATATCAATCCTAGTAGATGGCCTCTTGCTAAAATCACCGAAGTGTTCCCTACAAGCGATAAGTCCGTTCGAGTAGTCACTGTGAGGAAAGCAGATGGACATACTATGAAAAGACCTACCCATAAATTAATTCCAATTTCCATAATACAGCCAAGTCAAGAGAAATTGCCATGATAGCCATTCTGTTTATGAACACTTTACGCAAAATTACACAATTCATTATCTAGAACCTGGCATATTCATCGAACACATTGGACACGCTGAGATTGACAGAGGAAATTTTAGAATCGAAATCAAATTTGAAAAGCAAAAATATCTAACGAATGCTTCCAACGTAGCCCTAGCAATTAAGCAGGTGGCTGACCTTTGTCAAGAGGTGAAAGAATTAGCAACATCAAGCCAATGTAAATCGCTAATCCATCATTTACGGGAAAAGGAAAAGCAACTTCTCTGGATGGAAAGTGGAATGGAAGCTGTGGTCACCAAGCGAGAGAAGCGAGGACTTTTGGGCAAGTTTTTCAGTTCAATATTTGGAGTCAACGACGAAGTCTATATGAGTATAAACGAGCTTGACAAAAACCAAAGAGAGCTAATCAAAGCCTCAATTCACCAAACCAAGTTTATGTTACATGTTCTAGCAACATTCAGCGAAACAGAGACTAGAATAAAGAATAGCTTAGAAAGGTTACAACTGAAACTGATTGAAGGCATCAAGATCATTAACGGGATGCAAGGTTGGTTCCAGAAAGTGGATGAAAACAAGCTGGAAATACATATTTTGAGCACATACCAGATTATGTCAAATTATATAGCCGAACTTCTAGAGTACTATAGAAAATTACTGGATGTACATTATCATCGATGTACAAACTGATGGCATAAAAATACTAATTTATTTAAGGAACGGTAACACTATTTATACACAAATAAATGCAATATTTACAAAGGTAATTAACTAATAAATTAACTAAAGTGCTGACTTATATGTTTTACTGACTCACTGTTCGTAATGTCGATGACTTTAAAAATGCTTGGCTAGCTTGGCAAATAGAAAATAATTAATATATTTATTACAAAATAATAAGTTTTGAATTTGGAAGAAAATATGGCTAATTTGTAATTACACATTCTGGCCACTCGAGGCACTCGGTTCTGGAAAAAAATAGCTAATCTGTGATTAGACAATCATACGCTTACTTAAAAGTCAGTAGAAGAATTCAATTGACACGGCGTCTGGCGGTGGCTTCAAATCAAAAGCTAAGAACAGTTGTGTGAGGTATCCAAAATTCCCTATACCAGAAGAGGAAGATAGGTATTTAACAAATGCATCCTTCCTACAATGGCTTATGTCCACTGATCTCAAAAATAAATGGATAAACAAAGAACGCTTCTAATGCTGCTAATTTACGAGGTCATAATCTAAACAAAAACAACTGACTGGGACAGCTGTGAGCGTGCGCAGTAGATACATGTACTGTGCGTGCACAAAATCTGTCCAATGAAAATGGAGGAATTTCAAAATTTAGAATAGTTGTTCGAAAGATAAGACACTGCGCAGGCGTTAGACTGTTCCGTAGCACAACTGTTCGTAGAATATTGACCCCAAATTTTCGCACAAATTTTGCCAATCAAGCCGTATGATTGTTTATCCATTTATTTTTTAGATCAGTGCTTATGCCTTAGAAACTAAAGCACTAACAACTAACAATAAGACCCGCTAACAGACATGCAAAGAGCCATAGAAAGAATTATGCTATACGCATAAGTCTCGCCTATGAACAGCGTAGTACCATCGGTACGGTGTTCTCCCCCAAGGAAGCTATGCTTACCTATGGGGCTATTGCCTGTAGTCATAAAGCCGAACACACTACTACGAGCTGAAAATTAGACCACGTTGAAAGAATGACGTGCCTGATGCGCTTCCGCACTGTTGGCATAGAACCAAGTGCAGAAGTGGGTTTGCAGAGAGCCCGCTCGGGATGCGGAGTATACTCTTAAGTCCTCAAGCTGAACCTAACTAAAGCCGCCCTCGGCTAGCTCCATGCCAAATGTTCTCCAAACAGAAACTCTGGCATAACTATCGCTGCAGAACAGATAGTCAGCTACTATATCACTGACAAGATCGTGCACATCCACACGGAATGCAGATAAGCAGTACTATGTAGCTCTACACTCAAAAAAATCTTCATCATAATATCAATGAACTGCATTCATCAATTACATTTTCATTGATTCAGTGAAATTTTCATTAATCCCAAGTACAGAAAACTGTAAGTATTATGATTTCATGAACAGCTATCATTAGAATAAAGAATGAAGCTTCATTAAGTTATGAATAGTCATCTACATGAATCTATGTTGAATAGTGCATCGGTTACAAGAACTAAGTTCATTGATAGTATGAAATTGAACCTTGATATTAAAGAAAATTTCTTTGAAGGGAGCTTCCACGGAATATTCATAATATAAATGAATATTAATATGAATAATATGAATATGGTTCATATAGCCTTACTAGAAACATATCCTTTTAAGAACGAAATTCATTGATACAATGTACGGTTCATTTAAAACAAACCAATATTCCTAGAAACAAAGCTGCAACCATTACATCAAGATAAATCATAAATACAATGAAACAGTTCATGGCATTAATGTAGAAAGTTCTTAAGCACATGCGCAAAGGTAGCTGCAGTCGGGCAACGACATAGAAAAATATGTTGAAATAAGAATAATTACATTTCTATTTTCTGGATGCATTGCTACGTACTTCGTTCAAGTCCTTTTTTTCGGTATTGTGTTGTTCGAAGTGTTGAATGGAAAGTCGGTTATACCTGTCGCCAGTTTTTTCTAAAGGTAAGTTGTATACCTCTATTACCTCTATAATATATATACCTATTATGTAGGTAGGTCTTTGATGCCTTGCCCGGAGACGGTCTAGTCTCAAAATGGGAATGCGAAAGAAATGACCTACAGATTTCAATGTCATCCGGGGAGAACGTGAAAGACAAGAGCGTCAAGAGCTCTTCAGAATTTCTAAGGAATACTGAAGTCTCTAAAAGTAAGTATACCCAATCTCAAATCAAGTTTTTCATCGATATATTTTTGTTAAATGGTTTTGTTTCCCTAGATAGAAAAGCAGAAGATTCAATGCTGCAGCTAGTGTTTCATCGCCGAGGCAAGGAAACCAGCCAAGACATCAAATCTAATTTTCTGATGTTGTTTGTTTCAGAAACTTTGGATGTTGATAGTTCAAAAACAGATGGAACAAACATAGATATATTATATATTTATGGAAACAGGATTTAAGGAGGATTTCAAAGATAGTACAATATAGGGTTAGTGTCATTTTAAATAAAAATACATAAGTACTTAGATTTTTGAATTTTCAGATTTTGGGATGCTCATTGGTTTGTTTGACAATTCTGGAAGATGATACGAAGAAACCATGCAACTTTTGCATTAAAAGCTTTTTTCCTATTGCTCATATTCATCAGTACAGGGGTCACGCAAATATAAAAAAATGACCCTGTACCCCATTTAAAATCATAAGTATATTTAAGGCATAATGCATAAAATTATTTTAATAAAAATAAAGAATATGGTACATATTATTGAAAACGGCATTAATAAATACAATGAATGAAATTCTTAGTATTCAAGACTGTGATTCATAAATACAATGAAAGGGTTTCATCAAATTATATCTGGGCTTCATTAATATTATGCCGTCTGTTCATCAGGCCAATGAAAAAGTACATATAAACTAAGAACGATGTTTATTGTTACTATGAAGAGTTTCATTAATACAAAAACCTTGCTACATACTTCAATGTTCGTTGTTTATACACAAGATGAATCGAAATAGGAATTAAGAAATTGTTCATCCTTTAATAACGTAGAGTTCATGTGATTAAAGAAGCAGTTCTTTGGACCGATTTTAATGAATTGTTCATTAAATCAAAGAACAACTTCTTTTTATTTATGCTACTATTTGGTTGAGTGTATCTAGACCACAACTCTCATCAGATAACATTGCCACCGTACCCTCACAGAGGCTGTGGTAGTTAGCTGGATTAAAGGACATGATCACAGCAAAGATAATCGGGCTGCCGATGCTACCCAGATAAAGCTGCAGCGAGCCAGCAACTGTCGTTGACCAGGAAAAGGCTACGCCTGATAACGGGCATCTTGACTGGCCACTTGACACTGAACAATAATTTATTTAGGTTGCATCTTAGCACCCCACCCTTGTGTAGGGCTTGTTATCAAGAAGACGAGTCGATGGAGCACAATCTTTGTGACTCTTTCGCCAATTCGCAGAGACAGATAAGGCCAATCGGACCCATCTCTAGTAGAGCTCAGAGACAGCGCCCTCGGCGACAACGTTATCGCCCAAGTTAAATCGCTAGGCTAGATGACGAGTTAAGGATGACCTTTCCCCTTGTCGAGGCGCACAATGGACAATGGACCTACTGTGGCCTAAGTGCTGTGGCATTCCACCCTCCCAAACTTACAGACACAGAAGTCTGAAGGAAGGATCATACCATCAGACCATCAGAAATTGAAAGACCAGACGAAGAACGAAGGTGGATGACGTCAAAACCTGAATAGCTGGATTAAAGTGGAGGCGTGATAAACATATCACCCGTTAAAAAAATAACCGATGGACAAAACGTATCCTGGATTATAGACCTTGTCTACATAAAAGTAGTTTCCGGAGACCGATTATGTGAAGCAGAAGGCAGGAAGAAAGTGGCAATAACTAGCCCAGAACAGGAAAAAATAAAGTCCAGGAGCGTAATCTGAAGGATTGCTAGAACGATACGAACTAGTACAGCTGATAGTGAAGAGGCAAATTGACTGCAGGACAGGTCTCGAAAGAAGAATGATATAAAAAATTAGAGGCCATGCTTCAACAATGAGCCAGGTTGCAGCTAACAAAGTGATGGGCACACTTACTGAGACTAATATTGTTCTGTTTCTGATGATCCACCTGGCCCCTGAGCGCGCGCAGTTTGCGCAGCTTCAACTCCTGCGCCTCGACACGGTCGCGCAGCCTGCGCAGCCGCTCGCTCTCGGCCTGGACGCGTTGCGCTCGTGCATCCTGTTCCTTCAAGTAGCGCAGGCGCTGCTCCTTGGCGGTCAGTAGCTGGTGCTGTGAATCGATTTGCGCCTGCTGCCTGCACGCCATGTCGCGCAGTTCGGTCAGCGTCAACTGCACACCGTCTGGTAACTGGAATAGAAAGAAATATCACGTTACTTATTTTTTTATCATTGAATATATATTTTTTTAATATCCATACACAACAAATATACTAGATAAACAAAACAGTAAAAACTAATAAATATCAGCCTTTTAAAAGTATATTTGAAAAATGCAACAGGTATTAAATGTATATTGATTTACTGTTTTAATTTCAGCCACAGTGTTGAAATTTTTGTCATAAAAATTAACACTCATGCATTAACGAAAATAACAGATGTTATCGTAGTTTCACTGCAGCATAAGTTATTTACAATCTACAACAAACAAACTTATTGCAGTCAAGAAGCTATTAAAGTGTCTCCTCTACTTCTGTGCCACATAAAATAGGAGTAGTAACAATGAAGCCAGAACCATCAAAGATGAAAGTTTCCAAACTTATCTCATATACCTAGAGAACATAAACTTTGAAGTTTCGAAACCATTGATATAAAGTTAATTTAGGCTTTTAAGTGCACAGAATTATTAAAAGTTTTTCTTTTTTAGGTATAGAAATGTTTTCGTTTGCTGGGAGGTTTACATGTGCCAAATATAATTTAAAAAAATTCACGCTTCTAGGTAAAACGTTGAAAAAAGAAATTTTGGATCATATTGTATTAAGTTATGGAAAACTATACGAGATTTTAAAACGAATCATGTCGTTTGCGTTTTCACGTGATATATGTGCATTTTTGGTTAGCAAATAGCTGAAAAATTTCATGTAATACGGAATAAATTTAATGAACTAATATTTGCTTTACGTGATTTCGGAAAAAGTTTTTTAGGCTAAAATGGATGTCTGTCTACATTCAATTTTAGGGATAAAGTCTTTACATTTTGAAATATATTATTCCAAAAAAAAAGCGAATTTAAATTTGAAGCGATATAATGAAAATTCAGCAATAGAAGCTTTAATGTTCAAGCATGTCATAAAATAGCTTTATGGGTCGTATAAAGTACGGATACTCGGACACGGTTGGTTTGGTTTTTATTTTTAAGGCTATAAAAATAATACTTGCATGTTCTGATAATAAGGGGATATGAGAGCTTTTTTTAAATACCTATGGCAACCCGCACTTATGATTTTGCCGTGGTAACTTTTCGGCTTGCTCATTAAATCGTCCATAGTTTTGTTGATTTTGTACCACTTATTTTTATTAGATAATTTACCTATCTACGGAAGAATATCACCGGTGAACTTGCCATACTTACTCTACACCACACCAGTTTGTTCATTTAGTGCACAAACATTTTATGTTTGTATTGTTGGCCTACCTATTTGCTTTTTGCCTTATTTTGTTCTGATTTTTCAGGTTTTTTTCCCGTTTGCTCCATGCCATGTGTAGCATTCCACTTTATGATTGGCCATTTTGAGTAATTAATAATAGAAACAACTGTCACCTGGTTTCAACGTATTTTACTATAACTCATTGTATTTCATTGATAGTTGGCTCCTGCGTTTTTCTGTAGGTTAGGTTTTCTGTGAGTGGTCCGATGTCGGCCATTCCACTGCGACTTGCGGTCTATTGTGGCTTACTCCGACTTCCTCTCCAATCAGTCCAGTCCTTCTGATGAAGTTGCAAATGAATGTGGGGAAAGCATGCCTAATGTATTCGGGACGAACAGTCGACTACCCGAAATTAGGATGCCTGATTCTGTCTATGGCCGGACACGTGCATAGGAGATGTTCTGCAGTTTCGTCTTCTTCCATGCACAGGCGATACTCAGCAAATTGTGCTATACCGATCCTGTGCATGTGATGCCGAAGTCTGCAGTGTGCATTGTACAGACCCACCAGGGCTTTGAGGCTTTTCCTGCCCATTTCCAGAAGTGTGTCCGCCACTTTTTTCTTTTTTGTGGTTCTTATCTGGTAACCTCTCCCAGTATTGTTTGGCCTCTATGTGGGCCCAGGTCGAGATTGCGTGGTTGGCCATATTTGGGGCTATCCCCAGTACTGGTTCTCGGGTCCAATAATGAAGTTAAGCACGGATCCAACTTTTGCAAATTGATCTGCTTTTTCGTTACCTTATCCGGTATGTCGTGATATCCAGACCAGTGGAACGTTGTTATCCCCCCCTAGCTGATTCAGGGCTTGTTTGCAGTTCCATACTGTTTTCGATGTACAGTGATGTGATTTCAGATGGCAGAGCTTGGCTATTAGTTCATATATTTATCGACTTTTGCGTTTGTCGTATTTCCAGCAACTTTTTCGTACCAAGTTCGATGACCTGCAGTTCTGCCTGGAATATGGATGCGTTTTTCCTAAGGCTGGTCGAAATTTCTAGTCTTGGTATCTCACTTTTTACCTCTGCTCCGAATCTATGGTTGCTTTTGGAGCCGTCTGTGTACAAGCAGAAGTTTGCGTTCAGTAGCTCGTTCCTGTTGCCGGCCATAGCTTTCGGTCGGAAATCATTGTTTTGAAGGGCGAACCAAAACTGGTTTTCTTTGGTATTATGTTGGAAGGCATGCTGAGGGTGCCGTGTCGTTTTATTTCGTCCACAACCAGTGTTGCATTGCGCTTTCATCATCCAAAGTGCTTCTTGAAGCATGGTAATGCCGATAGGTGATCCTTATCGCTTCCCTCTTCACATATATATGAAGACGAGTTAGATTTATGAGGACTTCTATGGCTGCCGTAGGCAAAGCGCTGCTGTTATTGCCAGGCAAGTCATTCGCTGTAGTCCGGTAAGTGTGCCTTGAACCAGTTTTCTTCTATATCTTGCCCCACTATACTACAGATTCGTAGGTTATCATCTGATGACCAAGGTGTAAATCCATTGGATTTGTTTTGGATTTGTGCTTCAGGTCTTATTTCCATAGATCCAAAGTTCCAGTTCCAAAGAGATAGTTTCACCTTTTGATTCCCTTTTTTCAAATGCGCATTTCAGCTTAGAGTCTTGTATATACCGATGATCCCCAAATACTTTGCTTTACTTGAAAAAACTATTTCTCCCGCGTTTTTCTGTAAGTCATAAGCTCAATTTATAAACTTGACGTCGGGATTCCGTTTGCGTTTGCGTTTGCGTCTATGAGATTTCTGATACTAGTGCAGCGAAATAGGGTGAAAAATGTTTCAATTTTTTTTTTTTTGAGGTATAACCAGATTAAACCTTTGTGATATCATTAGATGCGTCATTGGACATATGGAATGGCCGTTTACGACTTTTTTTAACGGTACCGATTTTTTCTAGATCGAAAAATATGTAAAATTTGTGAAAATAATTGTTTCGTACTTTTTTACACATAACTCGCAATATCTCGGAAACTAATTGAGATAATTGAACAATTTTTTTTTAATCGATGGAGGAAACATGAGCGAAAGTAACTGTGCTAATTTGGTTTCCTCGAAATACATAGTTGTTTCTGCATATTGGGAGGAAACTCGCACAGGAGGCGCGTAAAGGGAGAAGGGTAGCGTGGCCAGAGATGTTTTCAACTTCAAGTACCGATAACTTGAACAGTAGGCATCGTATCGTACTGAAGTTTTTTTTAAAAACTTTCTCGGAGCCTTACCTTTAATTCATACGCGATAGTATGGCAAAGTTCCTAAAAACAAAAAAGTTTCTCGCTTACCGAAAAAAGTGCTGCAAAAAACTATCTGTCCGAGTTTCCTCCCAATATGCAGAAAAAACTATGTATTTCGAGGAAACCGGATTAGCACAGTTACGTTCGTCCACATTTTCTCCATCGAGTTATGTGTAAAAAAGTACGAAACAATTATTTTCACAAATTTCACATATTTTTTGATTTAGAAATAATCGGTACCGTTAAAAAAAGTTGAAAACAGCCATTTCAGATGTCCAATGACGTATCTAGTGATGTAAAAAAAAGGTTTCATTTGGTTATACCTCAAAAAAAAAAAAATCATGAAGGAAGCGACTTTTTCCTGCACTATATTCACTTGGTAACGGCGTGCTAAACGCAAACGTTAACGTTCGACGGTGAGTTTATAAATTGGGCTATACTCTTTATTAATTCTTGTCCGATAATCACGCTGTGACAATTTATTAGTCAATATTCATACTATCTGCCTGCAGGCATCTGTCTGTTTGAGTTTTGGAACCATCATTGTACATGTAACTTACCCCTGCCACTGTGTTGTTTCCAATGCCTTTCATGTTGATTGCGTAGTGCATTTTGAAGACAAAACATGGTGATGCAGAGTCCACTCTGGCTTCCAACAATGGAAGCGAGTTCGTTGCCTCACGCCATATGCGGGCTCTCTGCAAACCGACTTCTGCACTTGGTTCTATTCCAACAGTGCGGAAGCGCATCATTGTGACAGACAATAGCTTGAAAATAGTAGGTCTGATGATGGTTGTATAGATCCACATCGATAGTTCGTCTACACTGTTCATAGGCGATATATGCCTTGTGTATTCTCTTAGCAATATGAGAGTTCCATGTTAGTTTGCAACCTAATGTTACTCCCAGATATTTGACCTAGGCGGCAAACCTTAGTTCGGTGTTAAAGAGTCTGGGTGCTGTCGGAAGTACCAGTTTCCTCTTTCTTGTGAATAGGACCATTTAACCAGGTGGAGGGCTGTGTCCGTTGATTTCCCGGGGGTGTATTCATGTTGATTAGGGTGGAGTGGATTGGTTGACAACACTCCATCCCTTATGTACCCTTCGCATAGACTCTCCATTGTTTTTAGAGAAAATGATGATATGCTTATGGGGCGATTACCTTGGGGGGTAGTATGTCCTCCAGGCATCTCTTTGTTTTTGCCGTACGACTTTTTTATACTTATTAAGTTGGTACCTATTATAAGGTTCCAATCCTCAGGTATTTTGGTGTTTTTCTTTATTGAAAGCTTTTCTTGTCGTCGCCCTGAGGTTCTCCAGTTCCTGACACCACCAAGCAGAGGTGTTACCAGAGTTTTGGAGCATCCTCAGTGGGCTCGACATCTTATAGGATTTTATGATGGCACCTTTGATGGTACTGGCATACCGCTCCAATTCTTGGTCATCATTGGGTGTTTTAACTGCAACCTCTCGTAGAACCCTTTCCAGACCTTGCACGTACTGTGCAATATTGGTTTTTCTTGGGTCACAATAAGGTCTTGTGGTTGTAGGCGAGTAGTTTAATGTGAAATCGGTGATCCCACATAGAAACTTCATCAGGCAGCATGCATAATTTTCTTTATACAGGGTATCCCAGGGAAAACAGTCCACCCCGATTTATTGGATATGGGATGAGAATCTGGAAAAACGCTCGGATACGTCGATTTTTGATTTGAGGGGGAACTATTTTTCAGCTGTTTTCATCCCCGTAGCTTCAACCCCTTAGCTAGGGGGAGAACAACCCTTCAAATTTGAATAGGGAATAGGGGTAGTATCATACCTCTTTTAAAAGGTCCTATCGAGTTCTTTACGTCTCTAGAATTTCATCTTATTATTTTCATCCGAAACGAAATGACAGCTTGTCAAAATCTTGGAAATATACTATTGTTTTAGTAGGAGTGAAAGCGGTACTTACCTGCCTTAATAAAAATACGAGTAAAAATACCTACAATTAATTCCCGTGAACACCTCATTAATATTAATAATAAAAAACTTCAATTTCAAGTATTTTTATTGAGGGAGGTAAGTATAGCTTTTACTCCCACTGAAATAATAGTCTATTTCCAAGATTTTGCCAAGCTGTCATTTCGTTAGGGATGAAAATAATGAGATGAAATTCTAGGGGATGAAACAAACTGAAAAATAGTTCCCCCTCAAATCAAACATCGACGTGTCCAAGCGTTTTTCCAGATTCTCATCCCAAATCCAATAAATCGGGGTGGACTGTTTTCCCTGGGACACCCTGTATATATAAATTATATAATGTAAAATTTCGCGTTTCCCCCTATACTTCTGTATTGAGTTTCGTTGTAGGCTAACGAATGAATCTCAATTTCGTTTTTCAATATGGGGAACTATATTATTGTCCTTTGCCCAGGGTTTTTCTACGTGAGCTCTACATCCACATTTCCTTCGACTTTCCAATGTTCTCAAATTGGGCTCCACTAAATTTTGATTAGTACAGCATTAGAGCATGTGTCATCATTTCCTCTTTTTCACATTCAGCTCATTAAAATTTTCATTTCAACCGTTTGTATCATTTGTTCTGTCTTGGAAATGCAAGTCAACCTCTGTATAGCTGTTTTATAAACACGTTTTCCATTGATTCAATATAATTTCCTTCAATGATGCATCTCTATTATGCAAGATATCAGCAGCAATGATAGGTTGTGAAGGTATCATTATTAGAACAGATCCTCCAACTTTTTAAGCAAGTTCTTATTTTCTATGGGGTGAGTATCCAGTAATTTGAGATATTTCCGTTCGATGTAGATAAGTAATTGATTTACTTAGTGAATTCTTGTAATTTATTCATCTTTCCTAGTCCTCATGGAAAGCAAATTAGAGTTAGTACCCGATTTTTCTGAAACTCACGCCTTCATTGAAATAATCAAATAGTATTGGGATCTGTATCTGTTAGTTTACGAGGGGGTTATGCCAGAGTAGGCCCATTGGGCGCTTCCATAGGAGGAGAGGTTATCCTTAGCTTGTCATCCAGCCTAGCGATTCAACGTAGGCGGTGTCTCTGATCTCTACTAGGGATGGGTAGGATGGGCATAATCTGGTTCTGCGTATTGGCGAAAGAGTGACACAGAATGTGCTCCATCGTCGGCATCAATTCATCTTCTTAATTACAAACCCTACACAAGAGTGTGGTGCTAAGATGCAACCTAAATAAATGTTCGCTTAACTGAAGTCTAGCAAGTTAAGATTCCCGTTGTAGGCTTTTCCTGGTCAATGACCGAGTTTCTGGCTCGCTGCAGCTTCATCTGGGTAGCTTACCAATTCTTTGGATGAGTTGCAGCCAATGGTATCGTCTCGGTACTTTTTGAAAAGGATGTGGCAGTGTTCATTGATCATATCTTTAGCCGCCGACATGAGTGTAGCTTGACGGCCCTCCTAGCCAGAGCATCGGCCTGATTGCATCATGTCCTTTGATCCAGCTAAATACCAACGTGCTTTTTATCGACGCCTCTAAGAGGGTACGGTACAATGGCAATGTTGTACTAGTTATGACGTAAGTCGCGGTCTAGATCGAGCTAGTACTGCTTGTCTGCAGTCCGTGTGGATGTGCACGATCTTGTCAGTGATATTGTTACTGACTATCTGTTCTTCAGCAATGGTTATGCCAGTAATTTCTGTTAGCATGGAGCCGAGGGCTTTAGTTTGGTTCAGTTTGAGGGTTTTGGATTATACGCCGCATCCCGAGCGTGTTTCAGTTCTGGACTACTTCTGGATCCGTCAGTGTAATGTTACTTATCCTTGCCACTGTGCTGATTGCATAGTGCTTTTTGAAGAGAAATATGGCGTTGCAGGGTCGACTCTGGCTGCCAACAGTAAAAGCGAGTTCACTGCCTCTCGCCATATGCGGGATCTCTGCAAACCGATTTCTGTCACTATAATATACCAACAGTACGGAAGCGTGAATATCCAAGAGCGTCAATTATGTAGAGGCACGTCATTCTTTGTATGTGGTCTAGTTCAAATAATGATATGCCTCAACATTGAGATATTTAGGTTACCTCACATCATTTCTATCAGTTGTAGTATTTTTTCTTCTTTGGAATTTCACACATAACTTACCGATTGCGCGGGTGTTGCGTGTCCAATTTAGAGCCATCCAGGGCCCTGACATGTTCATCCATGCATGTCAGACTTGTTGGAAAGTAACAAAATCCCGGTTTTCAAAAACACTCTTCCAAAGCCCTTCAAAATGATTAATTTATTTCTCTACGACTTCCAAGGGATTTTTCTGTTTTACCTAACACATTTTGGTGAGTGATGTCCCTTTTGGGGTTTACCACTAATCATACATCTGATTATATAATAAAAATGCAAAGAGGTTGGCTTTCAAAAAATAATAATGTTTGTAATATTTATGCTAACATGCAAAAGCCCTCCTAACGTTGGGGATTTCAAAAATGCGACACGATATTAGAAAGTGTTAGACATTTCGCGTCCCTTGTCCCAAAACTGGATATTTGCGAATATTGAGTAGGGTCACATACTATATTATTGCTAGTGTATTGTCATAAAACATCACCTTAAATGGGTTTTAAATGTTTGAACCAGATATTAATATGAAATAAACTGTGCCTCAGCTGAAACACAAAGCATATTTCAACCCCAAAAATATGTGCTAAATAAAAATCAACCCCCACAGCTCGTTATCTTACATTTTCTGGCTTCCCATTGCATTTTCTCGAGAGATATTAAAGGGAATAATTAAATGTCAGCGCCGGAGAAACTCGAGGTCGGAAATTTATTTGTAAGGGGTTGGACTTCGGCAATATAATAATTTTGGTAGCTTGCGAATTAAGATTATACACATTCCTATTTGGGAAATTAGTTTTTTGTTTTTATAAATCGTATCCTTTATTCTTGACATTCAATGAGAATGATTTCCCGTGATACTGCGGGAGAGTGACGCGAGAGGAAAATTCTATGTTGAGTTTAAATATAAAGCCCTAAAGCATAAATTTCCATTTTTGATTTCACTGACAAATATCGTTGGGAGAGTGTGCAAAAGTAATAAATCTGAATTCAATCTTCTCGGAAATCTCCGAAGAATTTCATTTTCAAATAAACAACAGAAATTTCTTCTGCAATATTGAAATGAAAACTTTGTTCTAAATTTGGAACCCCATGCATTAAATCGCGACCAGTCTATATTGATGATAAGTAAATTTATTGAGTCAATTTTTAGAATCTAAATCAAAAACTTTCAAGCCAATAAGCAACAGTGAATTTTTCCATAATAAACGTTCGCAAAATGAACAAACCATCTTCCAATTTCTCGACCCTTGTCTCTCTCCAATCTTGGAGTTGCCTTATTGCATTTCCCGGGTATATTAAAGGGGTGCGATAAAATGTCAACGGGGAAACTGGGGTGTAAAATTTATCTTCGACTTGTAAAACATATTAGAGGGAACTTCATTAGGATTTAATCTTTGCCTGGGTCGAAGTTTTAATTGTTTTATTTCCGATGGAGGAGCAATGAATTACGAAACCGAGATCGACTTAATTTAATAATAATTAATGTATAATGGAGTCAATAATAATTTAAATTCAAACAATTATAAAAGGATAATGAATTCCGTATAAATTTAGGGCAAAGTGCATGCTCTAGGAAAAATAAACGTTTTATCCAAGCACTAATTCTAAACAATAAATAAAAAATAAACGAGATATTAATTAAACCATGCTGTAATAATGCAAATAAATATTTAGCATTCATCGAATACCTTGTCCAATTCCCCACTCGTTCCTTCTTCATTTTTATCACAGTTTTCACAAATTTCCTCAGCTTTTTCTTGACTGTTTCTTCTTTGCGATATATCACTAGTTTTTCTGGTTGCTTTATCACAATTATCTTTACTCGACGTTTGTACCATTTGATCGTTACTACCTCTGGTATCAGTCTCGGCATCTTTCTTAACAATTTTCGTTTTACTTTTTGCGCCAGTGGCTTTAACATTGATTTGAACTAATCTTTCCGAACAACCAATTAAAGGTTTCTCTTTCGGTGTCGGGGAGAAGTACGGAGGATTTACTCTTACCGATCTTCCTGGCTTAGGAAGAGCGCCCTTCGAAAAGAAGTCCAAATTTATTGCATTAAGATTTACGAGGATAATTTTAATGAACTGACAATGAAATACTGGAGATGATTAATCGATTTTTGAAAGTCTGCAAGGTCGGACTTCGGATCGGTACGTAACTGAAATGCACAAATCAATTGGTTGTTCCCGAATCTCCGACTTCGAAAACTTTGTGCTAAACTTTGTTAAAAGGGAGTCACAAAGGGCCTCATTCTTTATGCCGGCATAAATCAATTATCAGGAATTCCATTTCACTTATGGAACAAATCGAATTTTGCTGATACGCTTTGCTTTTTACAAAAAAAAGATCAAAGAGATAGGAGGGTATCAAACTAATGGCATAGGTAATAGGGAAATTACTTATTACAGTACGAGATGTTTAGAATTTGTAAGCACATACTTATAATGTATTTCGAACCTTTAATGTCATTTCCTATTGCAAAATAAACTTGACAGCTTGAATCTGGGAGAAAGCTAATAACTATTGAAGAAAGAAGTTTCCACTAATACATCAGCTAAGAAGTTTTCCTGTACATTTTGATATATGATTTATTATTTATGACATTGAAGTTTTGTAGTTGTAGGTACTGCAGAATAATATACTATTTCTCATTGTAAAAACGTTCTAAGTTTATACATCAATCTTTACAAATCTTTTCCTTCCTACTTCACATCGCTCCTGCGCTTACTTATTGCTTACAAAGGTTACGGGCCCCGATAGGCCAGCAGATGTAATCACAAGAAGATTCGTCAAGCTCTGAAACTGTAACAAGAGAATTTTGAAGTAGATTCCAACTGTCAAGAAAATTTTCTTTTTAAAAAGTTACGATTTTATAGATATATATGCTTTTCACTTATTATTGGCGTAGCATTATCCATGGAAATTTGGCAGGTTGACCCTCGTATAATAATGACAGTATATGTCAAATTCCAGACAGTTTTAAGTGTGGTTTAAATAATTTCGTAGGTGCCGCGGTATTAAAATTTTCTGGCCTATCTGGCAAATCAAATTTGACACATTTTTCAATGCATTTTTCAATAATGCTATATTATAAACGGTACCTAACTATTTTGCGTACCTGCAAAATCTAATGACATTTTTTAAAATTCGGCATTGTCAAATTTCTTTCGTATTGAAGATGCCGAAAATAATCTCAGAAGAAAAAAAAAGGGAAATATTAAAATGTCATGGTTATTTAAAAAAAAATAAACCAGAGGCTCTCCAGGGAACAATTGAAGCCCAACTTGCAGGTATATTTGAGGTAGGTAAAACTTAAATGTAGATGTGAAGTCATTTCTTACCCAACCAACATTTTCCTTAAATTTTAGGTGGGAACCAGGACTATTCAAAGAATTTTGACTGGACAATATACAATCAAAAAACCTTTAGGCCGACCGAAAAAGACAGAGACTATTATGGACCGAATGTTTAAGGAAGATTTAGAATGACAAATTTGGAACTACAATTCTAAAAATGAATATTTTACATCACAAACATTACTGACATACGCAAAAGAAAATTTGGAATTTAACCCTTTCGAGAAGGATTTTTATTTCTGTTTCACGTGTTGTAATCATTGATATTATTTCATTTCTTAACATTAGGAAGCTTTTTAGGCAGTTTGTATTTTTTTTAGAATTTCCCAAAATGTATTTGATATTTTGAAAAATGGGACATATTGTCCTACTAGTCCGTTCTAGCGGGACATTACAGCCCATCAGTCTTGAAATCTTAGAATGATAAACAAAAAGAAATACAAAAAAACTGTATTTTAGTAACTAATTTTACAATAAACGAATATTTTCAGCAATTCTTTAAAGCTCAGTTTGATTTAGTGGCTTTTTTCTATTCATCCTAGAAAAAAAAAACACATTCTTAGGTTACGTGGGACAAAAAATCCCACCGATAAAACCTGTTGGGACATAAGGTCCCACCAAAAAAAAATCAGAAAATATCGCATCAAGGAATATGTAAAATATCTTCAAACTATTATAGGTATACACTAATAGAAAGGTATTCCACTTGATTACACAGAATAAACAGTATACATTTGCACTGGAAAAGATCAGCATGCGCTGTGGAGCTCGAAAAATTTGAGGTTATCTCGCTTTGTTTGCAAATAACAAACTGCTAGATAAACGCAGGCACTGAAAAGACTGAACCGGCATTTATATATGTATATTTGGGATCATATTTCCCTGCAGTCAAAATAAAATTTGATTTGGGACCTATTGTCCCGTTAGTCTCGAAAGGGTTAAGGGAGGGCAAACAAGTAAAATTTTAAAATCTATGGGATATAAATTTAAAGCAGTAAATGGACGCAAAATTTTATGTGAGCAGAAACATGTTCTTGCTACCAAAATTACATTTTTGCGGAAATACCTCCAATATAAACATTCAAACGAAAATATCAGATTCGTGTATTTAGATGAAACTTGGATCTACAAAACGGATCTCAAGTTCGTCGATGGATACACAAATCTGATATGCAAAGCAACCCATCCAAAATTAGGTCAGAGGGGAAACGTTTTACTATTTTGCATGCGGGGAGTAGTTCTGGGTTTTTAGATGGGTGCGATTTTTTTCTAGATTCAAGAAACAATGACAGAGGCTACCACAATATCATGAACGCGGACATCTTCCAAAAATGGGTCGTTGATCAACTAATTCCTGCATTGAATATATTTGAAGAGAAATGTGTAATAATCATGGACAACGCTCCATATCATTCAGAGCGGAAGGATAAACCACTTTCATTCTCTTCAAAGAAAGACAAAATGCAGGAATGGTTGGTTAAACATAACGTAGACTTCGACACAAAAATGACCAAAAAACAACTATGGGAACTCAACCATTTCGGAATAGACCAAAACAATACAAAATTGACGACATTTTGAAAAGCCACGGACACGAAGTTCTTAGATTACCTCCTTATCATTGCCAATATAATCCTATTGAAATGGCATGGGGGTTTTATAAGAACTTCTATAATAAAACTATAACTTCGCAGCTACCATCCACGGATAGGGTTGCGAGGGTATGGCGAGAGTCTCTTGCAAAATGTACCTCAGACATGTGGACGAATTTTTGTAGACATTGTGACAGACTTGTTTCAGAAGACTGGACAAAATACATGGGAGACTTACCTTTCGAAAATATTCCTCCTTTCATTATTTCTCTTGGAGAATCCGATTCCGAGTCGGATTCAGAAATGTTGTCTGAATCTGAGGAGGTATCTAATTCTTCAAGTGAAATGGTGGAAGCTGAATAAGACGGACTAAAAACGGATCTGAATTTGAACTATTACTTTGACAAAACTATAAGGGGAGGGTGGATAGGATCGGGACACTGGGAGACAATGTACGCGCTAATATTTCCCGCCGATATATGGAAAGAGAGGACCAGGAAGAAGGAGAATATCGTGACGGAAAAATCTCAGAACATTGTTTGATAAAAGCTCGCCACAACTCTTCCATATTGCTGCGAATTAAGTGGACATCGCCATAATGATCGATGATCGCCGACATTCATAAGGGATAGGCACGTCCAGAAGAAGAAGAAATAAAAAAATAAAAATAGGAGAAATGCCGTTGGACCAAACCCGAAAAAAAAGTTACTGCAAAAACATATTTATGCTATTGAGCTTATTTTTATGGTTACGTTTAATTAATAAATTGAAAAATTTTACTATTTGAATTTACTCAGATATTTTACACATTATGGCAACTCGGCTTTCTGTTTCATAACCCTGAAATTTGAAAAATATTTTGTCATCAAATGTCATTATTATACGAGGGTCAACCTGTCAAATTTCCATGGATAATGCTACGCCAATAATAAGTGAAAAGCATATACTACTACTGTAAGTTATGCAGAAAGTTCCAGTTCAGCTCCTTCTTTTGATAAGAGGAAGTGAGATTTATTGTGATTGGTCGTCATGAAGATCCTTGGGTTTCTATAAATGGCTATCCAGAAGGCGATACAAGAGAAGCACTAAAAAGTAAGAAAGATCAAAAAGCTCTTACAAAGATTTGTTTGATGGTTCAACCTTGCTGTTATCTTCACATAAGAGAATGAGAAAAAGCTGTTGATGTTGGGATAATTTGCACGCAGCTCACGAGGATAAAGGTCTCAATCGGAGAATCAGATTACTGCGAACCTTATGTAGTATCAGGTTAGAAAATTTTTAAATTTTTCTAAAATGGATGATTACGTTAATGAGTTTATGACAGTGTCGCAAAAAATTAGCACCATAAACAAAGCTGTTGATGATGAGGGAGCTATGATGCTTCAAGTATTGCCAGAAAGCTATGATCCTATGGTGATGGCGATTGAACACTCTGGTGCACAGATCACGAATGATTTGATCAAATTCAAGTTGCTACAAGATACAAAGTGGGAGAATGATAAACACAGTTCAAATAAAGCTTTGTGGTTTAAGAAACATAAAGTCAATAATGCGAAACACAAAAAGCCTTAGTGTTGGAAATGTCGTTCTGTGAGACACTATAAGCAAAATTGTACAAATACAAAAGTCAGTGGACCTTCTAACCAAAATAAAAAGTATGAGCAGAACAAGTCAACCAAGAATGGAGTTTTTTTACCGCATTAGGTTGTCAACTAAATAGACAAAAATGGTATGTTGATTCTGGTGCTTCGTCACATATGACTTCTAATGAAGAATGGCTGGTCAATTTTTCAGGAGAAAGAAACGTTGGCTTAGAAGTGTCTGTTGCAAATAATCAAATTTTATACAGTCAAGGAATTGGAGATGTATCTATTAGTCTGAAGGATAGATCACAGGTCCAGGTTATCTCTAACGTAACCTATGTTCCGGAGCAATCCTCTAATTTGCTATCCGTGAGCCAGATGGTCTCTAAAGGCTTTATAGTGGCATTCGATCAAGAAGGATGCAAGATACTTGAAAACTGCGTGATTGAAGGTGACGCAGTGTCTACAGCAACTGAAATTGGTGGTCCATTGCTTCAATCTAAACAAAACTGAACACGCCAATTTTTCAAAAACAGAAATATCAAAAGTACTTTGGCACAGAAGACTTGGACATTTAAACCGTATCAGTATGAAACTTCTTCGTGACAAAATGGCTATAGGAATGGATTTTTCTAACAAAAATCTTGGCGATCCTAGTGAGTCCTGTATTAACGGAAAACACAGCAGGAAACCGTTCGAAATGCAACGAACAGAGGTTTCCACTCACGAAAAGTTGGAGCTCATACACATGGATCTGTGTGGACCCATGCCCATAGATTCTTGGTGAGGAAATCGGTATATTTTTTGTCTGATAGATGACTTTACGCGAAAAGTTTTTGTCTATTTTCTCAGACAAAAGAGTTAAGTTACAGAAGTTTTTAAGGAATTCAAACAGCAAGTAGAAAATGAATGTAATTTGAAGATAAAAAGTGTCCGAAGTGACATTGGTAAAGAATTCTCGAACAATATTTTGAAGAATTTTCTAAAGCAAAATGGCATAAAATTCCAGCTAACAGTACCCTACACTCCACAAGAAAATGGAGTTGTAGAACGCATGAATCGAACAATTTTAGATAAGACGAGATCTATGATGCAAGAGTCGTCTTGTGATAATCGTTTTTGGGCTGAAGCTCTCAATACTTCGGTATATTTGATCAATCGATCACCAACAAAATTGATCAAGGAAATGACACTAGAAGAAAAGTCGAGTGGTCGAAAAGTAGATCTCAGCCATTTAAGAGTTTTTGGATCAATAGTGTATGTTCATATACCTACCAGAGCAAAAATGACGAAAGTTGGATCCCGGAAGCTAGAAAATGGTTTTTGTTGGGTATTCTGAGAAGCCATGGGATATAGATTTTTTAATCCTAAAACAAATGAGATATGCAGAGCTAGAGATGTTGTATTTTTAGAAGGTCAATTTTTCACCAATCAGATAGCCGAAAACGAAAAACTTTTTACAAAAGTATTTGCGCCAATTTTGTCACTATTCGATTCTCATAACTAAAATTAAGAAATTGAGATTGGACGCGATAATGCGAATGATGAACAACAAGCAAGTGAGACTGATGATGATTTTCAAGAACAAATATCAAATGAAGAAGTTCTTTCTGATAAGGTCACATCTCAACAACAAAACCTTCCAGTTCAAGAAAAACAACTAGATCAAGAATCAGAATGCAGATATCCAATTCGAGATAGAAAACAGAAAGAATTCCCGGATCATCTGGTATGGCATATATTACTTTGATACTTTCTCACCAGTGATTAGATATTCATCAATACGTTTGCTTTTTGTATTCGCTGTTCAATTTAGCCTTGAAATGGAACATTTGGATGTTGTCACTGCTTTTCTTAATGGAGAACTAGATGAGAAAATCTACATGTATCAACCAGAAGATTTCGTCGTTGAGGGGAAGGATAATAAAGTGTGTCTTCTTCGAAAAGCATTATACGGACTAAAACAAGCTTCAAGATCCTGAAATAAGAAAGTTGACAAGTTTTTAAAAGAACTTAATTACAAGCAGTTAGCACACGAAGTTGCATCTACACTATGAAGAAAAAGAACTCCATAGTTATCATTGCACTGTACGTGGACGACTTTTTTATTTTTCACAATGATGAAAAAGAAGTTGAGAAATTAAAGAGGCAACTATCATGTCACTTTAAAATCAAAGATCTTGAAGTTATACATAACTGTTTGGGCATGAAAGTGCAGAAAAATCGAAATTGGAGTATTTCTATCAGTCAGAGAAAGTATGTCATGGATATACTAAGGAAGTTTGGAATGTTGGATTATAAAACAATAAGTACACTAATGGATTCAAATATGAAACTGCCATTAGTGAGCGAAAAGAGCCTGAATGTGCCATATCAGCAACTAATTGGATGTCTAATGTATTTGAGTGTCACTTCTAGACCTGACATTGCTTATGCATGCTCCTATTTGAGCCAGTTCAATACTAAGTATGGTCAAGAACACTGGCAAGCTGCGAAGCGCGAATCAAGATATCTCAAAGGAACAGCAGACAGAGCATTAGTTTATCGGAAATCTGAAAAAGAATTGACTGGATACACCGATGCAGATTGGGCTAGTGATGCGACGAATCGAAAGTCATACACTGGTTTTTGTTTCAAATATGCTGATGCAGTTGTTCCTTGGGAATGTCGCAAGCAGACTACAGTCGCCATGTCTTCGTGTGAAGCTGAATATATGGCAATCAGTGATTCCGCAAAAGAAGCAATACATTTAAAAGGATTGCTATCAGAACTTGTACTTAAATTTTTCAAAACCTGTGAAAGTTTACAATGACAATCAAAGTGCTCAAAAAATTGCAAGTAATCCTGTTCTGAACAGAAGAACAAAGCACATTGATGTGAGGTTTCACTTCATAAGAGAAAAGGCTGAAAATGGTGAAGTTCAGTTAGCATATCTTCCAACAAATAATAAGATTACGGCTGACATTTGTACTAAGCCATTATTTAGACAAAAGTTTGAGTATTGTGTTAAAGCTATGGGTTTATCAAAATGATGTGAACTTCAGAAGACTGTTGTATTGAGAGGGAGCGTTGAAGAAAGAAGTTTCCACTAATACATCAGTTGAGAAGTTACCCTGTACATTTTGATATATGATTTATTATTTATGACATTGAAGTTTTGTAGTTGTACTTGTCAGAATAATATAGGGTAAGTTTTTAAATTCATCAATAGACCTATCTATTTTACCAGACAAAGAGGTAACAATACGAAAACTTCATTAAATAAAAAAAGACACAGAACGTTCATTGCGCAAGACGAGGCAAAATGTACCAAATTATGTTAGACTTACGTATAGAAATCCGTCCTTCTTATTTGCGCGGGATAAAAAGGGAAGAAGAAAAACCGCGTGTTGTGCAACGTATTTGTCAATGAAAATGTCAAACAACTTTTGAACGACATTTGCCAAGTTGAATATCAACTTTAGATTTATTCTTGTCAGACTACGTGCAATGAACAAGGACAAAGAGATGTCCAGCGTGCAAAACGATCACCTCACACCTGTATTGGCTAGCCAATAAAAAGAAATTGCCTCGTGTTGCGCGCGCATAACAGGTAAAAATAGATAGGTCTAAGGAGGGCAACCCATCCTTGTTTTGCTACTGTCAAGTGACAAGGACAGCAATACATCGATGAAAATGCGCATGTGACATTGATGATTTTGAAAACTTGCTTATAATATTTCTCATTGTAAAAACGTTCTAAGTTTATACATCAATCTTTACAAACTTTTTACTTCCTACTTCACATCTTTCCTGCGTTTACTTATTGCTTACAAAAACACTTTAAAATTGCAGACTGGATTTACAAGAAATAGTGTCTATGGACTGATGCAACAAGAGGAAAGATTGAAATATTATGTATGTAAGACCGATTTCGGGAAATCGGGTATCCTGTGCAAGGAGGATGGCACCTTCACTGCCAACCTTCAGGAAAGCAAATAGTTACTACTGTTAAGTCATTTCCCTGACTCCACAACCACAATTGTCGAGGAAGAGATGCAGCTAACATATACAAACCCTCTGTGACTGATTGGCTAGAAGCTATAAACGATAAAACTGACGTATAAATGGGCTAAATGAGGTTTGCTTTTTGTATTCAGGCTCAGGAATAGAAAAGACACAAGCGAAGGCAATATCATAATTGTCATTTCTCTCCAACAATATCTCTTGTTTCATCAATCCGTGGACACACTGTATGTTTTAAATAAAGTTTATTGTCCATTAGTTTCATATCCTTATGCAAAATTGGTAAACTTTTGGAACAAGTATGAACTTACAAGTTGTCCTTTGCATGCAGGAGAATGTTCCATGAATAAACTTTAATATAATTTCATATTTTCATCAGTTCACTTAAAATTTCCTCAATCGCGACACAGCTCTATTAAAACGGATAAAGCGCAGTCCTACCTTGTTAACAGAAATTTTCAGAGGTGGTGCCCCAAGGGGTATGGGGGATCGTCTAAAAACTGAAGGGTCTGCCGGCTGGCATACACAGGCCAGCATCCTTTTTATTTTTGTTTGTCGATAGACCCATCCATTCTGCGGGCCCTTAAATGCTCGGAACCCTTATTTGTATCTAAAAAAGATACATTTAATGCAAATTTATTGGATCGTGTACATAAGAACATGACCTGTTGGTATCTAATTTAACTGTCGTCTAGCGCGTATTAATGGGTTAGGTGTTACGGTAATGGTATATTTTTATCTTCTATTGAAGCATGCATTTTTATTTATAAACGATTATTGGATAGGGAACCAAACCAATACTGTTTAAATGAATCAAAGCCAGCGGCCTTATAGACGGTTTCCTATTACTGTTGAACGTTGGCGACCATTCTGAGCAAAGAATATGAAGGGACAAGGCAAATCTCCAAAATCCTCCATCCAATACCTACAAACGCTAGTAACGTCTAGCTTACTCTAATTTTTTTTATCTGAATCAAATGTTGTGTGTTGAAGAAGAGCTCATTGTTCAAACTAACCTTATGCAAAACTTTTTTATTGGATATAATGTGGTATGAAGGAGTGACAAGATTTAGCTTTTAGCATTGAGAAATTAAGAAAATTAATAAACTAATCATCATTCTTCATGCCAAACCTCCCATCCGTTCATTCCTAAACCATCCAATTTTTTCCACGAACTTTTTATTTGCCAATAATGCCAAGACATTAAACGCATATAATATTCGGTCACGATCACTTGCCTGTTCCACTATCGTTAACTCGAAGGCAAAAAGAAAAACTGGGAAAAGTCTTTATAAATATGCATATAATCATAATCTCAGTCGAATTTAGGAGGTTATTTCCCATTTTCCTTCTTTTATGGAGTCAAGATGGTCGTTTGCATGAAGCCAGCATTTAACTTTTCGTGCACGGGTTGAAAATAAATTTGTTATAATATGAAATAATATCGGAGATTTATATACCAATAGGAATTAATTAATAATTCTCTAGCGGTCGGCTATATAAATTCTGATATACGTACTAATATTATCGGTCGCATTATGGCACAATTATCTACCCTATTAAATTTGTAATTAAAATTGCTTTACTAAATCGCGGAATAATTATTGTTTGCTTTTTTGCCATATACAGTTTAGTAGCGATGCATATTAGAGAGATGTTTTTAGCAAAATTCAATCATGTGTATTTAGTGATTGACGTTCTAATTGAATTAGAAACTTGTATTAGTATTGTCATCGTTCTCATGCCCAAGACGATGAGTCGGGAAAATCCAGATCTAGGAAAAGGTACACCAATCTGCGTACAGGGATGTCCCGAAGACTTTTATTGGGGGGGGGGGGGGGGGGGGGGGGGTGGCGTAGGTAAAATCTCCCAACTGGTCTTTCTTAAAAATCCCAACTAGCAGGCGCGTAGCCAGAAAATTCAGATAAGGGGGGTTTTTCGCTATTGAAATTAGGAAACGTTGCATGACCATAGGGGTGTCAGAAAAAAAAATTGTAGAATTTCAAGGTCAAATGCTTTATAGGAAAATAATAAAATTTTGAGGCTCAAAAAGTACATACCTAATATATGCTAAAACATAGGTTTCGTAAGGTAAATTTCTAGAGTTTTTAGTAATGTCCCAATATGTCCTTCGTGACTTCACATTTTAGGTAGGAAAATTCGTTGTGAATGAGTCAATTTAGGAGACGCACGGACCTCTCGTCCCCCTTCGGGAACGCTATTAGTAAAATCAAAATGTTTACTAAAGAAATAAAAGTCAAAAACATGTATTTTTTTTAGATTGTTAGTATTTGTATTATAATTTTTAATTTCTAATAATTTCCAGAAGTGGTTTCTAATTATACTTTCTTTTTCTTTAACCCCCAAAACCCTTCCCGCGGCTACGCCCCTGTCCAAGTATCGTTTTTTTTACGCTGTTTTTTATATTTTTATCATTTTTTGGAATATTTTTTCATTTTCCCCGTGAATCCTCATGTTTTCAAGTGTCCCAACTTGTACCCGATATCCCAACTATCCCAACTGGTTGAACAGGTTGGGGGGGGACGTCCTCCCCCCCATACTTGCGTCCCTGTCTGCGTAATATGAAGGCAACCAACCAATTTAAAAAAATCGGATGAATTTGTTAACTTAGCAATGACAGTAGCCTCTGAAATTCTTCAGCAAACAGGGTCAACAAGTTAGACAAAAAAAATCAAAACAAGCTTTAGTGTCAAAGAATTAAAAAAAACCGATTGACAAAGCATTTCTACATAATAAAATTAGGATTAAAATGAAGTCAGTAAAATAAATGAACGTTAAAAGTGTATTGTAGGCACAACAATTATTAATAAATTAGTCAATGATATACAAAAATTAAACAAATAAGAGGCAGATTTGAAACTAGCCTAAATACAGGCACAAGTTAAGAAATAACAAACCGCAAAAAAATCTTAAGATTTGGAAAAAATTAAAAAAGAGAATAAATTTTCGTTCGTTCGTTAATTTTGCTGAATTTTTGTAATAGAATCAGGAAGTTTGTATTTTTATATGGAGACTTTTAGAAATTGGTCAATTGTGTAAAAGGCATGTTAAAGTAAAATGCTCCTTAAATGGCTGCGAAACCTCGAAATATCTGATACTGATAAAATGTTTTCATTCGGACTTAATGGCCTTCGTAAGTTGGAATTTCTTCCTGACGTTTCGGAAGCACGCGTGACTAACATCTTGCGTGTCCGATTCTGGTAGCAGACTGACGCGTTGCAGACCGTAAGTTGTATTTATGTGTGCGTCGTTGTGGTGGGGGAGGGGCGGGGCTTCGCTGATCTTTCTCTGTACTCAATGGGATTTTTCTGGCGTTTTTGAGGATGGAATTCTAAATTTGGTTAAGTTTTAGTGTTTCTCCTTTCCTGTTGAAGTTCCCTGTTTGTGGATTTCTATAGCTTCACGTACAAGACGATTGTGGTATCCGGAAGTCGGTGCAAGAAGCTTGACCTCACCAAATAGTATTCCGTGATTTTCTTCACTAAGCGCATGTTCCGCTACTGCCGATTTTTCCGATTGTCCTAGTCTGCAGTTTCTTTTGTGCTCGTTGATCCTGGTTCCCATGGATTTTTTTGTTGTTCCTCTGTAGGTATTCCATACCACATGTGCATGGTATACGATAGACTCCAGCGCTTGAAAGTGGGTTTCTCTTATCCTTGGCTGATCTGATTGATTGCTGTATTTTCCTTGTTGGCTTGAAGATCATTTTTATGTTGTATTTCTTCAAGACTTTCCCTATCCTGTCTGGCACCCGAAAAATGAAAGGCAGATAGCAGACATGCATTAGCCACCACTGGCTGCTCATCCATGTTTTATCGTGTGTCGGTTTTGGGTCGCATGGCCCTGTCGATTTCAGATGCATTGTATCCATTTGATAGGAAGGTCGACTTGAGGTGATCCAGTTCTTGCTCGAGATGTGGCTCGCAGATGTTCCGAGCACGTTCTGTTAACGTTGTTATAATTTCACGTTTTTGCCTTGGATGGTGGTTTGAGAGTGCATGCAGGTACCTGTCTGTGTGTGTGGGTTTTCGGTACACTGTGTGGTTTAGTTTTCCTCCAGATTTCTTTATCAGTACATCTAAGAAGGCGATTTCTTGGTTTTTCTCCTTTTCCAAGGTAAATTGTATGCTAGGATTTGCGTGTTCAGGTGGCCTAGGAACTGGTTAAGCTTCTCTTTCCCGTGACTCCAAACCACAAAGGTGTCATCTACATATCGAAGCCATACCGTTGGTTTGTGGTCAATAGATTCGATAGCTTTCCTCTCGAAATCCTCCATAAAGAAGTTGGCTATGACCGGGCTGAGCAGACTTCCCATAGCAACAATGTCCGTTTACTCGTAGAAATCGCCGTTTCACAGGAAACTACCAGTGAGACATGTCGGGAAAAGCTCAACTATATCATTGGGGAAGGTACTTGATATCAAGTCAAGAGATTCCGTCAATGGCACTTTTGTGAATAGATACACGACATCAAAGCTGACCAGGATATCCTTAGCTTGGAGAATAATATCCCTAATTTCCTGGAGGAAGTGAGTGGAGTCCTTGACGTAAAAGCTAGTTTTTCCTACATGCGGTTGAAGAAGCGATGCAAGATGTTTCGCAGGGTTGTACGTTGGTGCTCCAGGTGTACTCACTATGGGTCTTAACGGGACTTCAGGTTCGTGAATTTTGGGTACGCCGTAGAGTCGTGGTGGAACCACGTTCGTTTTTATGATGCCTTTCTTAACCGTGTCTGTTAGGGTAGATGACCTAATCAGTTTGTTGGTGTTCCGGAGTATGGCTTGGGTGGGATCCTTCTTTAGCTTTCGGTAGGTAGATGGATCAAGGAGTTCCTGAATTATCCGGTTGTAGTCTTCAGTTCTTAACAAGACAGTTGCGTTGCCCTTATTCGCAGGTAGGATGATCATATCTTCCACTAAATTCAGGTTCTTAATTGTCATAAAGGTGATTATACATGTAGATGATTGAATTCTTCACAAGGGTAGATCGCGGAATGGGAAGCGGTATATGGTGTATCGTAGTGGATGAAAAACGCAGTTTGTTGTACACGGAACGAAGATATGTATTTATGTATGAGACTAACCGATTCAAGGATAAAATAAAAAGGTAATATTAAGATATCATATTTAAAAAAAAAGGATTTGCAGTGTTTCACTGAAGCGGCACCAACGATAACGCGCACTGCTCGCTTCCAGAGTTTAAATACTGATTGAAAAAGGTATAGGCTACAACAGCCCCAAAAAGGTAGGTAGTCCACAGAAAAGATGAGATTTTAATATAAAATATTCTACTGATTTTGCTATGGTTGCGTCCAAATTTGTGGCGACAGCTCGGCCACAGTAGCAACCAGAAGTAAATGTATTGGTAAGTGTAGTGATGTGAGAGGATTTGATGGAGAACTGATCACAATCAATAGGTATCATCAACATTACATCGGAACCCAAGCACCTGAGTCCTATTGAAGTTAAAAAGCAGTTTATTTGCATCACACTAACACTTTATGGCTCTGATGTCATC